AAAAAAGGCAAGGACCCAGAAAATTGCAGTTCCTATAGGCCCATTGCATTGTTAAACTCTGATTTAAAATTGCTATCTAAAATTTTAGCACTAAGATTGGAGAAGGTTCTACCGTTTATTATTAACGAAGACCAGACAGGGTTTATTAAAGGCAGAAGTTCCGCTCACAATGTTAGGCGGCTACTAAATATTATTGAGCTTTCCCATAATTTGAGTTTTAATTCTCTTATTTTGTCTCTAGATGCAGAGAAAGCTTTTGATTCTGTTGAGTGGCCTTATTTATTTTACACCTTAGGAAAATTTGGCCTTGGAGAATACTTTATAAAGTGGGTGCGAATACTCTATACGGACCCTCTTGCTGCGGTCATTACTAATGGTCACAGATCTGACAATTTTCCTTTATTTCGGGGTACCAGACAGGGCTGCCCCCTCTCTCCATTGCTTTTTGCAATAGCAATAGAGCCATTTGCTCAGATGATAAGAGAGGAAGCGGCTGTGTCTGGGGTGTCTCTGGGAGGTAGGCAGCACAAAATCTCTTTATATGCGGATGATGTGCTGCTCTTTCTTTCAGATCCAGAGGTGTCTGTGCCAAAAATTGTAGACCTTATTCAGGAGTTTGGGCAATTCTCCAGGTACAAGATTCATTTTTCTAAATCAGTTGCCCTGTTTTTAGGTAATAAGAAGTCCACAAATCAGTCTCCCTCCTTTCCCTTTAAATGCTCTGAGGATGGTTTTGATTATTTGGGTATTCATGTAACCCCTACTTTCAAGCAATTGTACAAAGCCAATTTTACACCAGTGCTAGGAAAAATCCGTGATGATTTGAACAGGTGGATGGCTCTCCCTCTGTCTTGGCTGGGGAGGGTGGCTCTGATAAAAATTAATGTCCTGCCCCGTTTACTGTATCCAATGCAAATGATTCCTGTTTTACTGTCTAGTAAGGCTATAAAAGAGTTAAATGGGTGGCTAAGTTCATTTATCTGGAGCAAAAGGAAACCCAGATTGAAATTATCTAAACTTCAGCTCTCTGGCGGCTTGGGCGGCTTGGACCTTCCAAATATCAGATTATATCAGTTGGCTTGCCAACTTCGATTTATTATTATTGAAGATATTGAAGACCCTAAATCAGTGTGGCTTGATCTCGAATCCTCACAGTCCAGCTGCCCCTTACAAAACCTATTATTCGTTCATAAGCCAAAGCTAAGCAGAACTCTGTATAATAGTCCTTTAGTACGTAATACTCTCAAGGCATGGCGTGCTATTCGAAGGCTGGAAGGTAGGAGCGACATAACATCCCCTCTTCTGCCAATTTTGAACAATCCAGAGTTCCTGCCAAGTACTACAGACTCAGGTTTTAATTTATGGCCTGTTCTTGGTATATGTAGGATGGGTGACTTGTTTGAGGAAGGATTTCTAGTGTCTTTCGATAACTTAGTTTCAAGATATAATCTACCTAGACAGCACTTCTTTAGATTTTTGCAAATTAGAGATTACATATTCAAAAATACTACACTTACCTCTAAATACTCTGTTTCAGTTATTGAGGAAATCCTTCTGAACCCTCCTCCATACAAGTTGATTTCCCTCTTCTATAAAGCCTTATGCTTCTACGGTGCAGTTAGCACTTCATATCTAAGACTGACTTGGGAAAGAGAGCTGGGGGTGGTTATTCCAGAAGAGGAATGGGAGACAGTCTGGCTCCAAGCTAACAGGCTCTCGGTTTGTAATAGGGCAAGAGCCATTCAGCTTAGAATTTTGCATAGAATACATATAATGCCACACTTAAGACATAAATACAATGCAACTCATTCACTGCTCTTCCCTAAGTGTAAGTCTAATATAGGAGATTATATTCATTGCATATGGAACTGTCACATGATTCAGGCTTATTGGTCCAGAGTTGTGGCTCAATTAAATAACATCTTTGGTTTGGATCTGGAGCTGGATCCTTTGTCACTTCTTCTGGGTTTTCCCTGTAGGCTTATCTCTAATCAATTTGAAAGACGACATTTTAGTCTGTTAACTTTTGCTGCCAGGAAGAATCTACTGATGTCATGGATCAGTGATAAGCCTCCCTCCATCAAAGGCTGGCATTCAATCATTAGGGAAATTATCCCTCTGGAACTCTTGACCTGTATTATTCATTCTACAACAGATGCTTTTAATCGTATATGGACACCATACCTTAACTGCATAAATGCTTCTACCTGTGACATTTTGTGGCTTGGTATGACATAGTGTTCCTAGAGGTGTATAGAAGATTCATGTATTCTCCCCAGTTTTTATTGTTAAATTTGAACTGTGATATAATGCTCTGCTTGTCATCTTATGTATAATGTTGTTTTTGTATTCTCTTTTGTTGTATATCAGGCAGTGTGTGTATGTTATTGTTTTGTATTGTGTTGGAAGTTATTAAATTAAAAAAAAAAAAAAATATGTTAAAATGATTGTCAGCTCCTATTCAGTTAGACTGATTGACGTCTTTGTTTTGTTTTGTAGCCCACCGGCTGGGGACAACAAGTCCAGTACTTTGCCGCCAATCAAATCCAACACCAACTTCATTGAAGCAGATAAGTACTTCCTGCCGTTTGAGTTGGCCTGTCAGTCCAAATGTCCACGCATCGTCATCACCTCTCTAGACTGTTTACAGGTCAGTGCCCTGCAACACGCTGATGTCAAGATCCTTCTTAAGAGGATGTTTCATCTCATGCACTGTGTTCATGATTTTTCAGAAACTCATAGCATATGGTCACCTGACGGGCAGCGCTCCAGACAACACCACCCCCGGAAAAAAACTCATCGACAGGATCATCGAGACTGTATGTGGCTGTTTCCAAGGACCGCAGACGGATGAAGGCATCCAGTTGCAAATTATAAAGGTCAAATATTTTTATGTGAGATTGCTTATAAGCATGTGGAGCAAGTAATGCGTGTTTTGTTTTTTGCATTCAGAAATGCTCAGGGAACAATGTTGGCTGTAGGATATTTGGGTGATGTTCATACAGGATCATAATTTGCAATATTAAAGTACTAGAAGGTATATCAGAAGTATATCTCTACTTAAATAATGATCATTAATGACATTGTAAAAAAAAAAATAATAATAATAATAGTATGACATATTTCTGTCAGTTTCTGCAGAAATTGTCTTAATAATTGGAAAATCCCTTTCTGTCATCATAATTTAATAATAATTGTATTATTATTTATTTTATTACTTTATTATTATTATTATTATTATTATTATTATTTAAAACCTATA